TCAGTCGTCTGACCCTGTTGAACTGCTGAATGTACGCTGGGCTGAGAGAGGATAATTAGGGTGCGAGGAGAAGTGAGAGACAGGTGCCCTGCTGGCCCTGTGCTAGACACGGCAAAAAGTAGCCTTATTTCCCAATGTAGCTACCTAACCCTCCTTAGGCTTCACCTGCGGGGCAAACGTGGGAGGCAGCTTAAACATGAGTCCGTGAGTTGTGTCAGACACCGAGCACCTCAGAGGTCAGCAGGGAAAAAGCACAAGAGAGAGAGAGAGAGAGAGAGCCGGCCTTCACACAGCAGCAGGCAGGGATCTAAGGATAAACAGCCGTGCCGGCTTCTGCTTTGCTCACAGGTGAAGGATTCTTTATAGAACAATGACTTACCCCCTGTTGTCTATTCTCTCACTCTTCTCCACAGGTGTGGACCTTTGGGGACATGAGCCTGTCCTCCGGCTCCTCCGGTCGTTACTCAGTGCAGACAGTAACCAGTGACCACGGAGTCGTGTCGTCTCTGGTGCTATCTGAGACTCTTTCACAAGATTTCCAACTGCGCTACAACTGCACTGCTTGGAACCGCTTCGGCACAGGCACTGCCCTGGTCACGCTGAAGGAGCAAGGTACACACGGGCAAGAGTAATACTCCTGCACAGGAGCTATAGCGATAGTCTTGGTTCTTGCTGTGAAGATTGGGTAAAAGTAGTGCCCCCGTCTCGTGCTTATCTTAATTATGCTCTTCTAATCGATATGATTTAATCAGCAGATGGCTTCTTTAATGAATATGTTTGCCCCATAACATAGATATTGATTAGGGACAAAAGTCAATTAGAGGAAGCCACATGTGTTTGCAGCTGGGATCATAGTCTCTATCACTGTCTTATAGCCAAGCTCAGCATCTCAGGCTGCAGGCCCCTTAAGTGGTTTTAAAATTAAACAGCGGTGGTACGACTCCACTGATGCTAGGGGAAACCTTTGTTGCAGTAGACACCAAAAATGAGGTCCTCGCCAGTAATTTACATCAACGTAGCAGAGCAGGGTCTCCAGAGAAATGGGCAGCGCTATCTCCTGGAATCTCTAATTAGATTACTGTCTATTGCTTCATTGCATGTCAGGCCTTGTTACCCTTCTTTCAGAGAGATTAGAGACAATAGCCAGGCTGTGAGATGCTGGATTGCCCACATGAGCATATGTTACAGTCACTGTGAGAAGATCAGGGCTTACTGCAGATCAATTTATGGGCACTAGAGCGTTTTTCAGATTAGCTAGGCAAGAAAAAAAAAGAGAACAGAATCTCTTCTGTTTCTTTCATTTGCTCCAATATGCACTTTCTTAGACACTTATGTTCTGCTGTCTCTCATTTCATCCCTTCCCCATCTCTTGACAAACCATCGACCCTCGCCCTCTTTGCCACGCATTTCTTCTGTTACCATTGTTCTTGCAGAAGCACTGCCGATGTTGATAATTGTAGGTGGGGCAGTAGGTGGCGGCTGTGTCCTGCTCATCTGTGTCATCACTCTGGTCTCCCTCTGCTGCAGGCACACAGGCAAAGGTGAGCTCAACGGTTAGTATGGGCAGGAGGGTCAACAGCCATTTCTTCAAATCGAACATAATAAAGTGCCTGCGAGCTAAAAATTGAAAAGATTATGTTCAATTTTGTGCCGTCTCACCTTGAGTTTGAATAGAAAGCTTCGTGTAAATTGGATTTACAAATCTTCCCGGCAATGTTGAGTGAATCTGTTCTCATTTCCCATAGGCAAAAGATGCACTCGTCTTTCCAAGAGTGACATCAGAGTTCAGATTGTTCACAGCGATCACAATGCTACACGCGGCAACGACGACGAGGAAGATGTCAAAGAACCCATGGTAGGTCTATTTTGTTCAGCTTCTCTGTATGTCAAACATCTCCATGGACTGTGAGAGAGAAATCAGTACATTATAACATAATGTTCATGCTTTCTTTTGTTCTTATTCTAGTAAGGTCTTGTTCATCCTAATAATTCTTGGTCTTCCCTCAGGCTCCAAACAGCAGCGAGTCTCCCGGGACATCGCGCACAGAACACAGCGACCTCCTGGAAGAGGAGGAGGACGAAAGATCGGACATCAAGGTAAAACTGAAAAAAAAATTCCTTGAAGAAACTCTCAAAATAGCAAGCATGCTTTTTTTTCCACATGATACTGAACTAAAGTCAAATTGATGTTTTTTTCCCTCTGTTTTTTTCAAAGGATCCTACCAATGGTTACTACAATGTTCGTGGCCACGACGACCGTCATATTCGCAGCAGCGGATTTTCTGAATACGTGCCCAATTCTCGGCCGGTCTACACTCCATCTCAGCTGCCCTCCCCCAGCCCCGTGTAAGGTCAGCACGGCACCCAACCCCGTGCCTATGACTTCTCCCACCGATACGCAACCACCACAGTGAGCAGAACCTCATACGAACAGCAGCAAGCTGCCCAGCAGCAGCCTGCCCAGCAAGGGGCAGTTTATCCCACTGACCCCCTCTACAGTGGCACTGCTTACCTACCTGCTACTTATGGCCACGCCTTCACCAGTTATGTTAAGCCTGCTTCCTATGAGAAGGTGGATGCGTACGACCAATCAGATCAGGCCAGCAAGGTCTCGAGCTCGTCTCGCTTCTCTTACGCCTCGTCACAAGTGTCCTCCCAGCAGTCCGACTATGGCCGGCCCTCGCAACGTATGCAGACTCATGTCTGATAGGGCCAAAAAAAAGGAAAAAAAAAAGAGTAAAGAAGCAGTGAGTAGATAACTATTTGTCACCACATGTGTGGGCGGACTAACATGAACTTTCTTTACTCGGACAGTCCTGCAAGGATTTGTTAGAACAGTATATGAAGGGAGGCATGATTTCGGTTATGAATAACCAACCTGCGATGGACGGCAGCATCTACAATAACGTGAACTTGTAGAGCTAGAAAATTAAGCAGATTGTGATGTTCAAGTCAAGCATATGATGAACATTACAGTGCGATACCTCACTAGGTTGTCTCTACATGATGACCACCCAAACTTGTGGAGATGTTCTGCGAGTTCGTGGGCCAACCAGAAAATAAATCAAATGCATCCCTTAAATTTGGGTGGCCAAAACGACTGGGGTAGCTGTTTACCTGCATTCCACAGTTTACTTTGTGTCAACCCCAATTGTAAACATGACCTCGTAAATACTTTGAAAGAAGATAGTACGAGCTAACACGTACAGTATTTGAGGGGGAGGGGGGGGGGTAAAAAGGTGTGAAGAACCTTTGTTGTCTGTCATTTTGATGTTTTCGTTGGCATGCGAAAGGAATTGTAAGCACATTTGTGTCTCTATCATCTACAAATGACTGAGCTATCCACAGAGACAGACATGAACTATTCTGCACAACAGGCTAGCTGCACTAACCAACAAGTGCTACAGGCACTCTATTGTAAGTGGAATACATCTGGACTGAACTGTGTTTCTGGAGCCTCTCGTGATAACCTTAACACGTTGGACACAAAGTGTTGTCTGCCAGTGGGGAGAGAAGAATGTGCATATTGCCTTCGTTTTAATGGAGGACTCTATGTTGTACTGACACGGACGAGTTAAGGCAGTGAAAAACCCAAAGATGGTAACAAATTGTATAGGTAATAAAAATAGGGGCTGATGTTGAAAACTGTTGATCTACCCCTGCATCGTTTCCTGCTGTACTTTCTGATTGTAAAATCAAGAGTAGGAACTTACCAGAACAATCAAAAGTGGTCTTTTTTTTTTTTTTTTTTGGAAAATGGTGGCAATCTTGAACTTGAAATAAACTTGAACGCAGCGTCAACTTCGGCAGGCTTAGGTGGGGTAAGATGTGGAAGGCGGTCCTGACGGGGGGCCACCCGCTCTCAAGTTTTACAACTCAACTCAATCAAATCGTCTCGCTATGTTTACAAGAAACAGTACTACCCTGAAACTGAGTATCTGTACAAATGGCTAAGTCCATACTTTCTCTCTGTTGCATGCAAATGATGTGTCTAGTGAAACTCTTCAGCGTTTATATTCATGTCCATTTCATGTTCGAGACATCGGTTACTGCACCTGACCCGGCCGCATTCCACTTCCTGGGCGTTTTTGGTGTGGACGCTTGTACTGCCATTTGTCTAAAAATATAAAGAAAGAAATGAAACGTTCCCAGGCAGCCTAATGAGAGAACAAATGTCACTTAAAGTGAGGAGGCAAACATCATCGCTTGTCTTTATTTTTCTATTTTGTATACGCCTTAAAGTACAGCGTGTAAGCTGCTCTACTGTAAAGTATCTTTATATACATATGTATCTATCTCAGTTTATTTTATTTGGTATTCACACATTTTCTTGTCTGAGTTGTTCATCATTCCTCTGAATGCAGTTACCATGCTTTGGAACACAACTAATTGCCATTTTGTTTGTTCATTCTTTTAATATTGTATTAAGAATTTTATTTGCTAAAAAAAATGAGCTATTGTTGCTTGTACCTTTGTACACATATTTATATTTAAATAAAACCATTTCCGATAAAGAACACGGCTCGTGTGAATCCTCTGAGTTAATCAGCCTGGTGAGCTGCTTCATTGGGCATGGGGAACAGTGAAAAACAAAGCCTCCCATGTAGCAAAAATGATGAATACATAAATTAGCAGCACTGTCTATGTTGATTTTCCTATTCCCCCAGTGGTGTGCTGCTTTTAATGAAGACAGATGAGATAGTAGAACCCCCACTGTATGTGTATCCACCTCCTGAAGCCAACGCGCCTATCTCGAAGGGTAACAGGATAGAGCTGCGACAAAGGTAGGTATTATTTGACAATACGAGTTCGCCCTGTCACCTTTGTTCCCCAGGTAGGCCCGCTGCTCACGACAGGGAGGAGAAGAACACGCTCATTACAATTCTACTGTGAGAAGGGACAAAGTCTCACAAGGCCTGCATTCATTATGCACAACATAATACAAAACAAGGCCCCATCAAAGACAAATGATACAGGTAATGTAATTAGGTGCAGAGGAATCAGATAAAAGATGTTTATTATCATGACTCATATAAAAATAGATACAAACGCACACAAACAGAGAATAAAAGGTCCATAATCCAAGTCACAGTTTGTATACAATGCTTATGAAAATATCTTCTAAAATTTGTAGCCTCTCCCAACTTTCTACATACATATTTTGAAAAAATAATACACATTTACATATGTATATAACCCTGCCAATTGTTTATTCTAATATTTCCTCCCCTTCAATAAATAATCCTTGGAAAAATTCTAGTTCTTATCCTGAGTGTAACAGTTGCAGGTGCGTTAGAATAAACCATCGGGTCAGATATGTTGCTTAAGGTGAAGTTGGGTCGTGATCAAACAGAGGAAGCTCTCACGGTGAAGAATGGATTGCATTGCTCTTGCAACTAGTGAAAACCGCACTGATTTACACTCAGGCTGTGTGATTGAAGACCCCAGTCGCCCCGAGCTTAACTGCAGACATGTGCAAAAGCCAGCAAGACCTAAACACCACCCTCTGCCCTTCTCCTGAGTATGAAATTTTGCCTAATCATTCACCGGCAGGGCCCTCTATAAATAACAAATAAACTGATCTGGGTTGCTACAACTTTTTATGAATCACTCCAGTCTAACTCTTCAATGCTCATGCTAGTGTTTTTCCTATTTTCAGACTGCTGACTACAAACCGGTGTACTTTATTGCTGGCCATTTTCCAAAGCAAACTGTGGGCTTTTAGATTGATTACTGCATTTTCTACCTTCAAGGCAGTTTTTGGTTTTCATTCATTTTAGTAGGATATGAAAATTTCCCTACCTGGATTTTTGTTCTTGTGTTATTTGTTTTTATTGTAGCTATTGTTTTTTTTGTTTTTTGTTTTTAAAGAAACTTCTGTCATTACATAAAACCATAAATTTATAGCCATTTACCGCATGAGCCTACTGGCAATATTTACTGCAGCAAGAGGATGAAAGCATCTCACAAAAGAGAAAAAAAAAAAAAAAAATCACATTAAAAACTTTAAAATACAACCACTTTCCAGAGTATGATACTGTACTCAGAAACACTCTGAATCCCTTAAAACAGTCACACTGGACAAAAAGAGTGAAAAAAATAATTACCGCTTAAAGAGGTCATGAATTGATGGGGGTAACTATGCTCATTGTGCTGAAGATCGTCTTTAAAAATTACATAAAATACCATGCCTGAAGTCAAGTAGCTGATGCGAGTAGCTTTGTTCTGATCAGAATAACATGTTCAGTATGATGGGTTTTTTTTTTTTTTTTAAAGCACTGATGACATTGAGCAACAGGATAGGTTAACTCTGCAACCCAGCCTGTTCCCCACACAAACATCAAATATTTGTCTCCTGTTTAATCCATTCTCTGAGCTTGGTGACGCGCGTGTAGACACCAGGCTTGTTCCGACGAGCGCAGCCCTCTCCCCAGCTCACAATGCCCGCCTGGAACCACTTCCCGCTCTCTTCGAAGCACGCCAGGGGGCCTCCAGAGTCACCCTGGTGATCACGGTTGGAGGAGAATGGTTGTTAGACTGCATTTGGATGCGATCTGCCCACGTCAACAAATTGCTTTTTTTTCCATGCCTTTAGGAAATGTGCACACAATCTCACCTGGCATGCGTCAACTCCTCCAGACAAGTATCCACTGCAGAGCATCCTGGAGGTGACTTGGCCTTCTGTGACCACGTCACACACGGAGTCATTGATGATTTTCACTAATGCTTTCTGTAAAATCTGTGCAGCTTGACCTGCTAGAGTACGACAAAGGGATCAGTACTGTGCCACATGACCTCGCCTTCCAGTGCTGTCATAAAAAAGGTATTAACCAATGACTGTTTTCTACAGTCATTGGTTAACGGGGTAGATTAATGTTAGCTCATGAAGGTTTAAGAGGTGACACAGGAGAGCCGATGTCTGTGTTAATATATGTATAGGGAATAAAGTAGATTAGAGAAAGGGATACAGGAAGAAGTGCAAGAGGAGTATGTCGTGATTGGAGAGATTAGGAAACGGTATGGACAGTGAATGGAATGTAAAGAACAGAGTGGGTCACCAAAAAATAAATACATAAATGATTTTTTTTTTAAATTAAATTTAAAATGACTACAGTTGTTCAGAGAATCACCATTACACTTATAATACCTCCTTCTCGGAGAGCGCCCCAGCCTGTGACCCAGCAGGACATGCCTGCTGGGAAAACATGGGAGGAATCGGGTAGGCAGATGGGTTGTATGGTATTGGCAAATTGCAGCGGTTCACTGAGCTCCAGCAGAGCAATGTCATAGTCAGATGTCATTTGATTGTAGAGCGGGTGGGGGATGATTCTCTTCAATTTGCGGGACTGCACGTTGTCATGGCTGAATTGGTTCTGCATGCCACTGTAGGACTGCCATTTGGATGGATCTTTGTTCCTGCGGTAGTACAGTATCATGGAGGAAAGTTTGACATTTTTATATATTTAGGTATAAAATAGGGAAGAAATATGAGTAAGCATGGCATAATCTAATGTAATCCATTACAACAGCCCTGCAACAACATTTAAGACTTTAATCACTGCTGTTGGTTCCGTCAGCTCGACCAAAATAAATAAATAAAAAAAAAATAGTTTTGAACTGAAAGCAAAAAACATCTCACATTTTTTGGTGTCACACAAAAATGACCAGACCTCTCTTACACGCTAAACAAAAACTTTTTATTTAAAACTTCACAAATGCAGCTCCTGCTACACTCATGATTAGTTTTGCATTTAACTTTTAGATTGGATTAAGAAATTATTCAAAAAATAAAATGTGTAGAACTGTTAGGAATACTAAATGCTTTGTATGGCAAATATGTGAAAATAAACCCATCTCAAGCTCAGTCATAATTCAATTGTCTCAGTCTGAACAGTAAGCTTAGTGCACCACCTATAGGGCACTATATGAACGGGCACTGATGAAAACATTCCCAGGATACCACCACCACCAAGATTCCTTCTGCAATTTTTTGCCGAACACTGTTTTTTTTTTCTGCACAGTTCGTATGTTACACAGAGAGAACTACAGTTGTGTATGAGTGCTACAGATCTGTGACTTACTCTGGGGTGCTGGTGACAAAACAGTGAGCGGCCGAAAGAAGCCACGTGTTAGAGATGATTGAGGCACCACAAGTCGGCCCGTTGGTTGAGAAGTGAAGGCTAACCTGCCAAGGCCACTCCCCTAGCTCAGCATTCTGCCCTCCTACGATGCGATTCAGCTTGTAAGGCCTGGTGCCACAATCTGTAATTTGACAGAAAATATAACAGAGGCAGAGAGGAAGCAAGAGAGAAAAATCAGAAACTGAGATTAAGTTAAAGCCATCATGATGCCAAACCTGGCTTCAAATGTAATAATGACTCTTTGGAATCTTAATAAGGCATACATGCGTATTAGCCGATCCAAAAAACAAAACAAAAAAGAAAAGAAATTAAAGTAATAAATACAGACAAAGCCTGAGGCTGAAATGTAGGTAAAAAAAAACCCAAAAAAAGTTCAGAGATAACAAGAGCTGCTTTCAAAAAAAGAATGAAATAAAAGCAGTCGAGGCCTGGGGCTCTTTTCTAACAGACAGCCAACATGCAGCTCAGCCCAGCCTCTCCCATCTAAACTGAATGGCAGTGAAGAGATTAGAACCACTTGCAGCATTTTTTAAAAACCCAAATCTCGCAAGGGGTGAAGCAATTAAAGCACGTCTTACCACAAATGGTCTCATCCGAGTTATCAGAGCAGTCCTGGACGCGGTCACATTCGGCATTCACCTTGTTGATACAAACTCCGCTCTTACACTTGAAGCTATAGTCAGTGCATATACGCGTATCTGTAGTGGGGTGGAGACACGTCCCAAAATGAAAACACGCTTTAACCAGTAAAACAGTATGCAATCAGAGAGGCTTCAAAGTGACGCTTGAATACACAATGCAGAGTGATTGAGGAGCTGATTGCATTGATTGGACATATTGATTGGGGTTCAGGTCTAATATCCCTCTTTATTCACAGAAGTGAAAATCAAAAGGAAACGCAAGGGTGCCCCCTGTGTGTGTCTGAGTGAGTGAATGGGAAGCTGATAAAGAGCAAAGTACAGAGTAGGAGGGAATGAAACAAAAAGAAACACAAAGCTAACATAAAATGTTTCGGGTTAAGAATCAGGTCTTCAGAGAAACGTCTTTGTTAAACTGCTATAACTGCTGAGCTGTGGATGAAGGTTCATTATTTAATGGTTTGTGTAAGATGCTTAAAAACAAACAACCCAAATAAATCATTAATGTTGGCGGGATTTTTAAGGGAAGAGAATAACAGAAGACACTCACCAGTTTTACAACCAACCTCATCGCTCCCATCTTTGCAGTCTTGCTTATCATCACACTTAACACTCTGTGGCAGACAAACCCCGTTCCCACACTGGAACTCATTTAGGGCACAACCTTGAGGCAATAGAACACAAGATGAAGAAATTGCAATAAAATTTTAAAATAAATAAATAAAAACTTGAACAAAAGACAATCCAATGAGTTCTAGAAGGACATTAGTGGTGCAGCCACAGGAGCCATTAAAATCTGCCTCCAGAGTTCTTGCATGTATTGTGTATGATTAAGCATCTGACAGGACGCTCAGCAGACTGGGCAAGGCTTCAAACAAACTCCATTCTAGATAGAATAATGAGCGTACACAGCCAAGTCGTCACTGGCCGTAGTAGTAGTGGTGATGGACTTTTAATGTTAACACAATTAGCACAGCAAATAGGCTAAATAGGGTTTTTGCATTTCCTGAAGAGTCCTCTAAGAGGTGGGAATACTTACCGCACATTTTCTCATCACTTTCATCCCCACAGTCGTTGACATGATCACACACCCAGAGCTTCGGTTTACACATACCATTACTGCAAGCGAACTGGTCCTTATCGCAACCTGAAACAACAGAAATTTCAACAATTCATCTTAAGAAGATGTATATATGAATGACTGGGAAATTCACAAATAAGGATGCCAAAAGAAGTAGTTCTGAGGAATAAAGGTAGGAAAAGCAGGGCAGGGATAAAGGCAAACTTACTGCACCGGCTCTCATCGCTCATGTCACCACAGTCGTTCCAGCCATCACACTTCAATTTCTGGTCGATGCACAGGCCATTGGTGCAGGCAAACCGGTCAGGGCAAGCTTATCCCATAACACATAGAAAACATGGGTGGGTGGGGGTATAGTGACAAATTGAGCAAAACAGAGTTATGCATGTTCACAAGATGAGTCATGCTGCCAATGCTTGCCCCTGTTGATCAGAGCAATTATAAATTCGTTTTAGTCAAACTTGGAGACAACAAAGAGTGGAGAGTATTGAAAGTGACGTGCTCCTGACTGACAGTGACAAATAAAAGGGAGTCAGTAAATAAGCTCTTCAGTGATTAGACTCGCTCTTGAGTTTCCCTGCCACAGATGAGAAAGCATCAACAATGAACGGCTCCGTTTGACTACCAGTCAGTTACCATCTAACAACGTGGTTACTGTGCAGTCTCACAGCCATCACCGTCACATTGTGACAGACATTTCACTCATAACACAACATGTTGTCTAAATTTAGTTGAGAGACAAGACTTACGGTTTGAAGGATCATAGGAACTGTACTCTGCACTGAAGCCTTTGTCAGTGTGAGACCTATCAGAGTGGAAATTAACCACTAGAACGTTGGTGTCAGAGGTCAAAGACAGCGATGCGACTTCTCCACAATACCTGGAACACAAAAGCAAAATTCAGTTTAAGTTTCGGATACGGTTATGGTAGCTTTGGTGAAAAAGTAATTGCTCAGATTCTGAAGAGGCAGCACAAGACAGAAAAGTTGTAAACAAACCAGTTTACTGTAAATAAACAAGGAAAATACACAAGGCAGTCAAAGCAGACCAGGAAGTAAGGAAACAGAGTTTTGTTAACAGATATATACATATGCGTAGATATAGTACATATATCAGCATGTCTGTGAAGGTTCTCAGTCATCCAGGTCATCGTAGTCAAAGGAGCTTGCAAAGAAAAGCGTCTGGACTTCTTTAAGTTAAAGAAGTCCAGACGCTTTTCTTTGCAAGCTCCTTTGACTACATATATCAGCCAACATTAGTATTAACCTGACTGGTATTGGCCTATTAGCAACTAAAATTACTTCTCCACGACCATCACTGTTACTCACTGATCACAAAATCTCATAGGTTTGAAATTATAGGAACAAAACAGCACATGGACAAATTCACCTTCTATATGCCATAAAGGAATCCCAGAAAGGGTTTTTTGAAAAACATATTTATCTGATATTTTTAGATGAAAATACTGCCAATAATTACAACTCCTGCAACTAAAAATGAAAAATACCACATTTCATATGGGACGTAAAACCAACTCTTGTGGATGAAAGTCGTATGTTGGATCCCATCCTCCAATACAACCTCATCTTTATTACGTTCTTATCTCTCCTCACGTGATAAAGCTATAAAAACCACATGATTCTAACTGGTCAGAGGTAATTATGCTATTGGTGCATCATGATGTCACAGGTTGATAGGATACACACCAACTGTGCACCTGTTAATGCCACATTTTAGTTTTCACATTCTAATAATAGTTCGCTGTGGCCTTGGCACAATGAGGAAAAGAAAGAAACAAAAAAGGTATCAGAATCAACTTTGTGTTATTTTGGACATCAATATGAGGAACTGAATCTCTTACTTGTTTCCCATAATTTCCACATAGTCTTTGTGACATAAACGCGTGTCCACTCCAGGCTCTTTCATGCGAAACATGGTGAACCTCAGCCGTACTTTGCTCCCAGGAGCGACCTGTAATACAAAAGAATAGCTGATTGTCTTTTTTTTCTCCCTTCACACACAGAACTAAGATACACACCAAGCCACAGCTATCGTGGAACTGAGCGCGCACACACACACACACACACACTACATGCACACCAACAAACTCAACCGAACACACAAAACACTGCAGCCCAGCTAGAACTGCAGTAGAAACAGCAGTCTGACAGATGAAGATAGAAGAGGTACTGAGCAGTAGTGCTGCCTCAGCATCTCTCTCATGGCAGGCTAAGCATGGTGAAGGAGGAGGAGGAGCAGGGGGTGTGTGGGGGTAAAGGTTCAAGCAGAGGAGGGGCTGGGGAAAGGCAGAGCGGTACATACCGTGATGGTCCACTTGCACTCTTTAGCAGGAGGATAAAAGCTTGGGTAAAGTGGGGAAGTGAAGCTTCCCTGTTTTTGAGAAAGGCTGCCACCACACGTAACTGAAATGAACATGTCATACATTTAGATTCTTACAGAACATACTAGAGTTTGTCATGGATTTACGTGTAAAGGTAACATCTTGGCACATCTAGATGCATGTCTGCTTTTTTACCATCAGCCTTGGGGATCACACTGTACACGGCTTGGAAGCCAGGCTTCTGAGCATCAGTCTCAGCTATAAAGTTAATCAGCATGATGTTGTTAGATGACACAACCTCCAGAGGGTTAGAAGGAGGCCTCTGACCACACTTCCTGTGAACCAAGGAGAAGCGGTAAAGCAGCAAGGTAAACAAAATTGATTATGATTATGGAATCCAAAAACCAGTCTGAAAACAGGAAAGAAAACCATGAAGCCAAGTCATGTGTCTGATGCATTTACTGACTGGAGATTGCGTGCTCCAACTAAGAGAGGGCAAATGTAACTGTATGCATTTTTAGCCAGAAGCACTAAAACACAGATACAGCAAACAGATTTAAAATGCTTCATAGAAAAAAAAAAATTAATAATAATAATAATAATTTGAGAAGAAATCAATAGATAAGCAGAGGGAAGTGGAGAAAGAGAAAATGAAGCAGAGAGATGGACAGAAATTGCTTAGGCCGACTTTCAAAGTCAAACAATGGGAACATTAGCGAAAAAGTTTTAGCATGGCTCTGCTGGCAGCAGAGCCACGGAGGTGTGAATGACGCTGCAAGAGCAGCAATACATCTACCCTCAGTAGAATAATGTCATTACAGAGTATTATATTATGGCTCTCATAAACCCCATGTCACCTTGGATAAAGCTGATCACTCAATAGTATTATAAAAATTGTATGCATCACTTGGTAACACGCATTTGTTTGGCAGTGGTTTCTGGGTTTGAAATTGCCTGCAGCTACAACTGATGTTGCATTCAGGAGCTTGTAGTTTCAGAATCACATCCATCCCACTGATCACAAAGTGCAATTACAGACAGTGCTGTAGCAGGATTCAGGGTGGCACCTTTCACACGTTTGAAAGGAGAGGTCCCTTTTGAGCCAACTCAATCTCACCAAGGTCTCAGAAGTTGACAATAAACGGGACATATAGCACTAAAGGCTTTCAGAGCCCCCAAAAAATGTAATCAAAAATCCAGTGAAAGGATTGGAGTGGAACATGTTCCACCTACATCAAGAAAATATTTGTTCAGATATCCTTTTGCAACCTTTAAGTCAAACATAAAGTAACCAGTTCTCTTCTGTGAATCTCTTTGATCATCGGGACTAAAAAGACAAATGTTGGTAGAAATCCTCCTACCAAGGTTTACGGCAATACAGTTTACCTGGTGTACTGTAGAAACAAAAGCTCAATTAACTGGTTTACTTTTTGTCACCTTATCTGTATTAGTCATGACATAATGTGGTCCTGAAGATACACAGCATAGTGGGAACTACTACAAACACCGTTTTTGGTAGTTTAGCAGGGAAATACACAGGTGTGTCTGTGGAAAAATGCACAGCAGCAAAGTGCACAATTGACCACCATTTATACTAATGGGCTGAAAAGCCAACATGTTGATAGGTGTTATGGCTTATTTGATATCATACTTGATATTTGATCACAATTTTTGTCTTTTTTTAAATACTGGAATTTCTTTCACAGGGAATACGGCAGTAACAACAAAAAGACATTTAGCTAGTAAATGGTATAGTGGTATTATCCTTTAATTTCCTTTAATAAAGAATCATTACTCATACTCCTACCACAAACCTTCTGGATATTTACACCACTACTTACTTTGTAATGGCCTGAGAATCATCTGGACTCAAAGAGTCATAGATGTAGACAAAGTCGTCTGAGCAGTCATCCTCAATGTAGAAATAAAGGAAATTCACAACTATAACGTTTTCCTCCGAGGCTCGGATTTGCCACTGACACCGTGACTGGGGGGGGTAGCCCGTGGGGTACCCTGGAGATGAAAAATTCTGGGGATTTGTGTCAGCTTCCAGACGGTAGAAACAATGATCTGTGAATGAGAATACTGTTTAAATCAGAGTGTGCAGGGACATGTGGCACTAGGGAACAGCCAAAAGAAAACATAATCATCATCATGGCGTGTAGTGACTTTGTAAAACACATTTACACAAATATTGTAAATAAATGAATAGACTTTTGCCTGAAGAAATAACTCATCTGTAGTTAGTCTATACCGTCACTTGATGTTAACGTGAGGACGGCAATTACGGTAATGCAAAATAATACATCTGAAGGTTAGAACCCATCAGACGGAGTCACAGAAAAGTGGCTCACTCTTGCCTGATACTCAGTTCTCAATCTCTGACTAGAGCAGCAACACATGTATAGTACAGGATAGACCAGTCATTCGTTACAGACTGGCAGGAGCGTGAGTATCAAGCCAGCTGGAAAATTACAACTGCGAGTGATTGAAATGGGACATGCAGTACTCACTGGCTCTTGGGTCCCTGGCCATACGAGAATCCGTGACTAGAGATAGAGAGAGGGGGTGGGTGACAGAGAAACAGAAGGAAAGGTAAGAATGGGTCACTAAAGTTGGGAGGCTGATAGAATTTGATGCATGAGCCTAAAATATTTGGGTTGCACATTTTCTGTTCCATTTCCCTGCGGTTAAGGGAACCGGTGATGGTGTGTAGCTCTTTCTGCTCCATCTCACCTTGCCCTACAGCAGCAACTCATACATCTCTGTCTAACTATCTGGGACAGCAACATCAAATCACACCCACAGAAATCATTTTAAAAGGAGGACCGAAACCACTGAGTCACAGGGCCAACACTTGGCTGGTGGCCACGATGTGGACAAATGCAACGTGAATGCTGAGAAGACAGAAGGAAGAAAAATGGCTGTCTCGAGTGAGGCCAGGCCCCAGCTAATATCATTAGAGGATCCAAACAGCATAAAATGTGCAATCTCAGATGCAGCACAAGCTGAGAGGTCTGGCTTATCAGTTATCATCTTATCAGCACAACTCAAAGCAAGCCCCTGTAATATAAATACAAAGCAAACAGAATACCAATTTGGAAAGCATACAACAATAACGCTATTCTGATCTGTATTCACAAAGCTTTATCTTTCTTGATTTTTAAAAATCAAATACTAAAACCAACTAGGGCAAAATGTCTTGTGACCCCCCCCCTCCCCTCCCCTCCCCTCCTCCACACACACCCCACCAGACCCTGGTGTTACATACGTGAGGCGGTGACTTGACTGATCTTGACATCAGGGGCACTTGCCGAGCGGCTTTGCCTAATGCCACTCTCCAGTGCATTCAAGATCCGCTCCTCTGAAACTTCCGGTATCATCTCCAGGTCGCTATTTGGAATGTTGAACTGAGACCAGTAGTAGGCTTTCACGCCCTCGCTGGTGTAAGCAGAAAAATGGAAATGGAATCAAAGAAACAGACTTGAGCATTCAAGAGGTCACAAAAACCTAAACAGCTAAAGACCAAAAGCTAAAATAGCTAATATTATTAGTTACTGCTACTAGCGACTGATTCATATATTACTACTGTGGAATACTACAAGCATAGCTCCAGGCGGTATTAACCAATTAGACCACATTGAATCCTGTAATGCTGGCAAAAACAAAAACCTCTGTGCAAAACAATCATTTTCTTCCTTCAAGATTTAGTGCACCTTTTTTTCTTTTTTGGACATCAAACCTAAACAAGCACTGTAGCGGACTGTTCACTACTACTAAAAAAAAAAAAAATAGAGGAACTCAGGATCACAACAGTACCTGAATGCAGTGACTACAGATTTGGTGTAGTATTTTTCAAGGATTGGATCTCTCTTTAAATAGTTCCCCAGCTGTGGAGAGACAATGTATTCCACTTAATATTCATAAGATCTCTGCATGTGTTCATACTCAACATATAAATAGCATAGTAGTTAGTATAATAGTTAGTGATAAGAGCTGAAACAAATGCTTAATTTGCTTTCTTTTTATAAATTATATGTGACTGAAAACAGCACAAAGACAGACCAGAAATATTTTGGTCTTTCTGAAAACTACATAGTCATTTTTTAAAAACTAATCAGAAGGTTTTTGGTTCAATCCCTGGCTGCTCCCAGTCTGTGTGCCAAATAACCTAGGGTGAGATACTTTTCCCAAGTTTCTCTCCGATCCACCCATCGGCGTATGAATGTATGTGATCTTAGACAGAAAGCACTTACTCAGGAAAAAGCATAGAAAAAAAGTGCTTGTGTGAATTGGTGTGAATGGCTGAATGAGGCAAGTTGTATAAAGCACTTTGAGTGCTTAGGTAGAGTAGAAAAGTGCTATATAAGTATAGGTCCATTTACCGTTTTAAATTGGAAACTGAAAAAAAAAAAACATGCTAGAAAGTTAGGCTGAAAAAATGTCTAGTGGAGGATTTCACATCTATTAGAGCTTAATCATTATTTATTTATCTATTTTAAGAGCAGACTGGAGTCTTTTAGAAGCAAGAATGGGGAGAAAAATTAGTTCAACAAAACCAAAAACCCAGACTTGATTAAGTAGCGAAAATGTACCTGTACACAACATCATGTAATATTTTTCAGTAGACTGAAACTAAAACAAAGGGAGGCTCTGAACAGCTGGAATCCAATATCAAGCAAGAATTAGCAAACACTTGCTTTTTAAACTACAGCATCCTCAGGACACTCGGTGTGCTGGTAAAAAGAGAGATGATGCAATACAGGGGTAAATATGATTGGGTATCTTTAAAAAACAAAAACAAAACATGTTGCTTGCATCAAATTCAAAATGTGTGTAGATTTTCTTAAATATTCTTACTTACAGCATGCAATGCTGTCCTTGTTCTATTTTAGATTAAATATAAGGGTTCAGTGATATGGAAATGAGTGCATTATATATTGTCTAGATTTTACTCGGCATCCTTTCCAACTTTTTTTGGAAGCAGGGTTGCGCATCGCAAAGCTTTCATCCAATTGTCTAGTCATCTAATATTCTTGTCCAGCACTTCCACTCTAATTCTCATCTAACACCCTCACTTATGTAGCTTTCAGTGAGAAAGTGTGCGCTTGATGGGTTTGAGGGAGGGCTTTTTGTTATCAACATTCTCCTAAGTGGTGCTACAAACATCTCCACTGCCTCCAATAATAGGAGATGCTGTTGAGGGAATTACTCAGGGAATGCACGGAGTTTTATTCCACCCACACAAATGTGCCCTTTAGCGCTTTCTGTGCACTGGGATGGACATATTTAAAAAAGCATTTCCTCAATGGCAAACAACATTCAGTGCTAATCCTTAACAAGAGCACTCAAAACTCTGCTCTAAATAGTTAACAATAACAATGCACATGACAGAAAGGGAACAAAACAGGGTGTCAGACTTACAACTGTCTCCAATTTTTCTGCCAGAGCCTGGAATTCTGGGCTGTTGGTGTCCTCCAGGTTTTGGTCATAAGGTTGATTAACCAGCGTCATATGCCCGCTAAAAACCGGTACTGATTGACGGAGCTGCTTACTGAGGGCGGCATCTGAATCAGCATCTTTAACTTGGAAGAGAAGCAGATGAGAGTTAAGTGTTTGATCAACAAAATGGGATGAGATGGTTGCTTCTGATGAAAGGGGAAAGTTTTCAACAGGCCTTCAAGCACTAGCTGAGACTGTACAGTGCAATCTTATGCTGTGGCGACAGTTTGCTTCTCAGGGCAATTAAAACAGTCAGTTAAATCAAGACGGTGTTTATCAAGACTTCAGAAGCCTTTTTATCAGGCTCCGTATGTGTAAATGACAAGAAAGCTGCGCCATGGTCTCTGTGACATTTTTCTCCTTTGCGTTATTAAAAAGAACGTCAGAGCTGTCAAACAGGCTAACACTAATGGGAAATTACAAAACCCAAACAAGCCACTCTTGCACTCACATTCAAAGAGCTGTGCTTTCACAGCAAGTGTAAATGATCTACTTCTCTGTTTATCATGCTCTAAAAGGTTTGGCAGTAAGCAATGTTAACAACGCAACTATCCATTTACATTCTGTCAAAGACAACTCTGATTTTCGGACAGATTGTCTGCGCACAATGTCCAGCAATTGTCTTCATCTTGAATTTATCAAGCATTTCAAAGCACGCACGCCAAGCACCCACCCTGGACAGCATATTCAAAGAAAGCTTTTAATACTCACAGACAGAAAACCAAATGAGGAAAGCTGCGACGGCTGAAAGGATGAGAAGTGCCACAACAACACCAATCACGATGCCAGTCTTGCTCTTTGGTGGGGCCTTCTCTTTTTGGGTTAAAAAGTCGATCCGCTCATGTTTGCTGTGACCCTGATGCAGAAAGAGAACAAAAAACACAGTGAGCAAACAGAAAGGAAGCCACATTGTCAGTGCAGACAACATTTACACCGCGAGCTACAGAGAAATATTTAGTTTTTCCTAAACCTTAAAATAGTGACCAAAATTCACCGGTAAGAAGTGGGTCTTTAAAACAGACTGTAGAGAAGATGGGCATAGCCTCTGGGTCTGAAAAATGAAGCCAATGTATCCTAATGGCCAGCTAGTTCTCTCTGGTCAGCAGTATAGAAGTCTATTAGAGAATTAGTGTACTGCTCATTTGATTGATACTTTAATAAAGGTTTTCCTAATTAGCTTATGGTCTTTATTGTCAGTTAGTTTCATAAAAACTACTTGTTGACATTATAAATAATGGTGCCATTTAGAGGATGATGTCATTTAGGGTGTGGCACTGCGTGTAGTGTTTAATAGTAGATTTTTGTCTGCACAAGTCAAATCTCTGTATGTAATGTACAGACTACCATGATCAATACATGTTTTTGACTTTTGCATGCAGTGGTATTGTGGTGGGGCATGGCCTGCAGTGCCGTGCAGGGAAGGCGAACGCACCTGCACGGAACTGGGTCCTGCAGTATTGTTGTTGTCGTCGTCCGTGTGTGCAGCTGGCAGCGAGGGAGAGCTGCAGCCAACTGTGTGTACACAGCAAATAAACGATGCTGCAAAGCATGAAGGTGCACCCAGGTCTGCTGTGGGTTTGTTATGGGTATAAATTATTTTTGCCTCTCGCTATTATCTTCTCCATCTATGGTTCAAACCTACCATTTCTATGAAATTTTGAAATGTAGATTCAAAGTGATTTTTATACTTTTAATTACATATTAAACTTCATATGTTTCATTGGCTGTCATGAAGAAATGAGCTCCCTGTATACAAGGTAGAAAAAACTGTTTTATTCCAAGTAATATGTTGCTGCAATGCAACAGTTACATGTGTTGTGAAACACTTTGGACTACTTTCCAGGAGTGACAAGTTCAGACAGGTGACTTGTTTTTACACAAGACTGACCAACCAGTTTAGTAACTGTGCCTTTTTTATTCACGCAGCAGCACACACGCTTACATTCAGAGATTCAGCATGATAACCAAGATAAAACATCATAATATGGGCATGTGCTTCAGGGTGTGTGTGTGCCGATACTGTATGAAAGTCTGTTACCAATCTCGCTCAAGTGGGTGGACAGAGAGAAAGGTTTTAGGCCTGTTAGTAATCAACACACAATGAATTCAGTGCCAGTAGCCCCTGAGTGAAGAAGCCAGAGTGCCATTAGGGATGGAGAATCACTTTGGTATTAAATCAATTTGTCAGATGTGCTGCCCCTTAAGATGGGGGCTCAATTACATGAGTCTAGATGATAACTCATGGCAATTAAGGCCTATTCTTGCCCAGCTAGGGCTTCCACACATGCTTTCTAATTGGAATCTGGAACAGCAATCATGGGCTAAAATGAGGGGAATCATTAGATATGGGGTCAGCAAGTGCTTCAGGGTCTCTCTTTATTAGTCACCCTGATCATAGCCTAATAAAACTATTACATACTTTTCACCATATTCTATTCTTCGCTAGAAGAAGGAAATACTCTCTCATTCTGAATATGCAGCATTTTTTTTAAATACCAACTCAGTGAGCTATGCCACCCTAAATGACTGTAGGCCATCAGTCAACACTGAACTATGAAGATGTTGGCAGAAACTAATGTAGCCTAGTTGATGTGCAGGTTTACAGCATATACCTGCTAAGAAAGCTCTGGCATTTAAATATGGCTGCTTAAAAATGCACAAGCATACTTAACAACACAGCCTTGCAATAGAACTTCAACCTTCAAAGACACAAGCACTGAAGCTTCTGTGTGAGCATACCACACAAGAGTGAGAGCGCAACCGTTACAGGGCTCGTTATTGTTGGCATCTGGTGGTAACCAACTACGGCAACACCTCAAGGCTGTGGATATAGACAGAAAAGAAAAAAAAAAAAACACAAACAAAATAGGACAGACGCAAGTGTAGAAGTATTGAAGGAAGTTACCTGTTTCCACAGCAACAGGAGATGACTCATAGTAACGAAATGGATCTTTAGCTAGCTAGCTTAGCTCAATGGTTCTCAAATGTTGCCATCTGGAACGTGTAACAGGGCTTTAGAGACCCGTACTTCCAGTTTTACAAACAGTTTTTAATCCAGCAGCCATAACTAAAGTCAATTCTCAATTTTCTAGCATCATTCCTGCTGCTCCAAGGCACAGGAACAGCCCCTCTACAATGTTTTATTTTTCATGTTTAAGGCATTTAAGTGGGTTTTTGTGGCATGTATGGTTTTAAAGTACTTTAAACTTTTGCACAATTTTTACCTCTCAAGCACATTGAAATCTTTATACATTGGCTTTTTTATATCATTACATAGAAGATTTTATTTATTGGACAAACTCCATTACACTACTGGCTTCAAACTTAAAAAGCTGTTAACGGTTAACAAGAAAACAACTTGTATGTGCTATATGCAATTATTACAATAAAGGTATTTGATTATATCACAAGGCAAAACCCTTATAAAAACAAACTCACAAACAGAACTAATTAAAGAGCTGCCCATCTAGTAAACAGCATTTTATTTCTTGATGGTTTATATTTAGATAATCTGGTATCGGTTGACGTGTTTCAATTATTGGTTAAATATGTATAACCTAAACAGAACAACAATATGTGTTTATGATTATGATCTATTCATCATCAGTAAGAACAAAAAAAGAAAAAAAGGAGAGATTTAGGAGGAGATTTGAGTGGTATGTACCAATTGCCTCTTCTTTACAACCAAAGAAGGAGGAGCGCAGAACACACACACACAAAAAAAACCCCACTACAGTATGAATAAGAAGAAGAGGAGGGGTTATCAGACAGATGCATCATCTTGTCGCAGTTCAAAAGGAGTAGTGGCCAAACAATTGAAGAAGCAAACACTTTTTAGCAAAGCGCAGTCTTTTTTTTTTCCTTTAGCCCCAAATTAACTTTAAAGCAGTGCAGTCATCTAATGAAGATCTAAACCATTGCCCCCAGTGTTTCAAGTTTCATGACTTTGGAGCTGCATATGGTGTGTTGCTCAAGGACAGGTTGTCTACACCTACACCAAACTCCATTACACCACTGGCTTCAAACTTAAAAAGTCGTTAATGGTTAACAAGAAAACAATCTGGTTCACCACATGGGTGTTAAACATAAAATGTGAGCTGTAAATCCGCAGTCGCCACTGAGCGCGTCTTTGTCGTCTAACCAGTCTTACAAGCAGAAAAGTTCAACCATGAGGTGTGGCTTCAAAGCTTACTTGTGAGCTTTTACTGTGTTTTTTTTTAGTATATTCAAAAGCAGTTTCTTATAATTTGAGATACTACCATTTCACTTGATTGTTTTTTAAAGGACTCTATACATCTTCATTTTTGACATAATCATTTATCTAATGACTATAATAATAAATTGCTAAGAAAGGCAAAGACAAATGTTACGCAATTTGCGGTAGTCAACCACCACTAGTGAAGAAGGAACACACAGAACTGACACAGTTGACATTTAAGCCACAGCCAAAGGGTACTGCTACGTGGTTACAGATGGTAAGTGTCGTTTAAATGATGACATGCAAAGCCATAAATATATATATATATATAACTTGTGGTACCATAACAAATCCAAATGTCTGACATTAAAAACATTTTTTTAAAGTACTACGCGTTTCCAGATACACACTTATACACACCCACTGATCCTTTAAGACTCGGGTGTGAACAAAATTTGAGCAACATGCAAGCTGCCATGTTTCTACAACAGTGTTTGCTCACATAGGTGCCACCTGGTATTCTGTGCAATCCTATCAGATATTTAAAAAAAAACAAAAAAACAAGGACAGCGACAACTTTGTTCTGTTCTTTTAACTCAAGTGTAGCCGTGTGCATTTCTTAGACGTGGACTTTCTGAAGTTTTCTGGGGGCTGCAGAGTCACAGCTCCACAGTGATACAAAGCTCACAAGAGGCCAAGCATTAAGTATTGTACTGCCATACCATTGTTAGAATACTGAGGGACAATTTATATATCAAAGTCAATAGACTAAAATCCAGAAATTTTTCTTTCATATTTTTCCCTTGCGCAGCCCTAGAGGCTACATTACACGCACAATGCAGATCCATTGCGTTATGATAGCAGCAGCTAATACAGCCTCTAGCTGATCGCCTCGGGCAGAGACGAGGACAGGCTGGCCACTTGTTTTTAACTCCAGACACCCAGACTTTTCTCTGTAAAACTAGTGTGCAGTCTCACTAGATGGTGACCTAAGTGACATCAATTAATGCAGATTTTTACCGAGCTCCCTCTGGAGCCACAGCAGGCTTTATGCAGCTTGTTAAACATATGCAGTAGTTAACCTTAAAATCCATAAACACGCTTCTGTCTAAAAATGATGGCTTTACCTTATATGCCTTTGGTACGGCAACCACTAGAGCCAATCAGCACAATACAGACTGCAGCGATGTCATTAAGTTTTAGTGAGCAGACGCCTACACACATTTCTCACCTGACAATAGCTCCAAGCATACAGTGGGAAAAATGTTGAATCAGGCAGAAGGTTGGGAACAGATAATTCAACAAATCATCCCTTACTGCATCTTACCCAGTACTGAAGGAAGAACAATACATCAGGTCGTGCCCACTGGCACATTCTGTACCCAAAGATGCAGACGCTGGCTAAAGCTGAATTATGCAATACAGTCTGTCAGGCTGAACATTACTGACCGCATTTAAGACAATGTAAGATTTAAGCCGTCTCCAGTTTTGTCAGCGTTAACAGGGATGTAACACTCGGTGAAGTCAACATAAGATTTGACATCATCACCGTGTTCCCGTCACTTTTGTTGCTAAGTTTTAACATGGCTGATTTGAAATGTAGGCTGAAACAGAGAGGAAAAGGCAGCACGGCCTTGCTTGAAGAATTATTTACCAACTCTGCTGAGTCACCACACAAACAGCGGCCAGAGTGCATTAATCACAGTATTCCCATTTGATCCAGTATCTAAGATCGACTTCATTGTGAGTAATCAAATCTTTAAAAAAAGAAAAAAAGAACTTGGGGAAACTATGCAACCACAGTTTCGTTCAAGCAACAGTCTGTCATAGCTTTAAGATTAAAAAGGTAAGGTGTGGCATGTGAGCTCTGTGGCTCTGCATTTAAAAGACTTCTTCTTGGGTTTAATGCATCCATCCATCCATCCATCCCCAACTCTGTCCTTGAGCATGTATACATGTCAGAGAGGTTCTGAGTTACTTGAGTATGTTTTTACACCACATCGGAAAAGGAAATAGGTCAGGCAGTGAGTTGGTGGTAAATATAGTAACGATAAGAGGCCTACATGTGACATTGTAGTAATTCTGCAGTTGCAAATGAACAACAAGCACATGTTTACAATAACTGATTTTGTTTTATCACATTTTAATATGCACACTTTTAAATTTAGAAACATTAAAAGCTTTTGTAGATTTGAAATTTTGCCACAACTTTAAGAAACCCTAAAGGACTGGATGCATTTTTTACCATCTTTATGATCAAGGCTGGACAACTACTGAACGCGTTCATACAGATATGCGCAGGTTTACCATCTACAACAACTTCTTGTGCTATAGCATTTGATTTTGAGTCTTGTAGATATGCGTAACATTTCAGAATTCATATAAAAGGTAGTATTTTTCTGTGTCTTAGTAGAAGTCAGAGATTGAGTCAGAAAACACTCTTCCACTTACTTGGGTCAAATGCTATGTATTGAGAGCATCCTCAACCTACACAATGGTACTGGAGATATTTCAACACATTATTAATTAGCTCTTTCTTAATGTCTTTCAATATATAGTTCCTGTTATTTATTCACACTACACCACACAGAGAACTTGCCCGGAGGTTTGAACGTTTCTCACTAAGCTGAGAAGTTGAAGTGCTAGTAGTTTTAAGCAGCACTGAACAAAGCCTTGAAACCATTAATGAATCCCTTTGCTAAGAGAAATTCACCTTTGGCTGTCTGTCACTTTTCTTTCCACCCACATGATGTACTGCTAATGCACAGAGTCTTAAACAAGACTGAATTACCGTATGAAATAAGTAGAATGGTATGGACATTTAAATAATGTATGCATGTTCGTGGAAAATTTGACCTGTAGGTTGGGCAAAGAACGCTCTCGGCAGTTTTCTCATCCTATTAGCACTGAACATGCAAGCCTGAGTAAATATTGTTCAGTAAAAAGCTTTTAATGCCAACAACAATAACTTTATTGTCAAAACTGAGGTCCTGCTCATCCACCAGCCTCCATTCTCCAAAAGCCACACCACACCTTTTTGCTGGGAAATCACTGGAAATGTGACGCTGCTCTGGATATTAGAATAGTTTCTTAGAAATGTGTGTGCTTCTAAGAGAAAATCTCAGGGCCTCTCTACCCAGTTTTCTGCATTGGGGCAATCTACAGTTTAGATTTTTTTAATTCAAAGATGTAAACGACATTCAGTCAAACTTGAAGATAATTCTAATTTCTAGTAACAGACTGTCTGAGACCGTCTCAGTTTCACCTCCTCTTACTGTAGGAACAGAAAACAACTCTTCTCAGGTGGTAACCAGAAATAGCTCACAGGCTTAATAATTAATCATTAATAGTTGATCTGATATTACACTAAACCTGCCTAAAAGATGCAACTTTGATTTGTAAAAAGCTGAAAAGCTGTTTCTTTGTCTTAATAACATGTCAAACACAAACTTTTGGACACTTTGTCCAAAATGAAAAACGGAGAAGGACCCATTTTTCTACTCAAGAAGTCTCAGTTTATCCATTCATTATGATGAGGGGACATCACGTCGCAAGGTGGGCGAGGCCTAGAAACAAGAGTCATTTAAGATTAGATTTAGCAGAAACGCTGTCAGGTGCTAAATATACGAGGATCAAGGGTTACATTTTGCAGAGATGTATTAGTGCCTCTTCTTGTCGTGGACACGGCCCACAAAGAGCCTGTCAGCAGCAGGTCTAACTTCAGAAGATCTGTGCGACTGTGAGCGTGTCCAAACAGGAAACACCGAGGTAATGCTGATACCCAAGACTTAATAAATAAATAAATAAATAAATAAAGACTCGCATATCAAGTTGTACAAAACTTACATCTTTGTCATATCTGGCGGAATGCATCTTCAAAGAAGGATCCAAGAGAAGTCCCACGGGATCGAGACAACCCTTTTTGTTTTCTGTAGCTTGTTAGTTTGTTCTCCTTCACAAAAATTCAGCAGAGGTTCGGACCTTGAAGCTGTAGTGTTCAGTAAAAAGTAAAAAAGTAAATCTTGTAGCTTTTTGACGACGAATCAAAGTTTCAGCACTCACTTCCTGGGTCGTCGAGGGCTGGGAATGCTGAAACACCTGAAACCGACTTTTTTTTTTCCTCACACGCCTATAACACAAGCCACGCCCCCAAACACCTGTAGGTCCTGTCCCCACCCAAAAAAGAAAGCCCACCTGATGTATAGCAATTTAACTTATAACTGCCCCTATATCCTGTCCGGGAGTGCATACTAACATTTTGTTAAACCAGCTGCTTTTCTGTTTGGGGACTTACTGTAAGAGGAAGCTTTTATTTCTTTATTTTCAAGACATGTGTTCCCCCTGCTGACCATTTAGGGAGGTTGCTGCCAAGTATTTAAAAAATCTTAAGATTTTTCATAAAAATCATTTACCATTATGCATTCATGTGGACTGTTTACAGAGTATAAACTCAGTGTTGCATTATTTCAAAATATAGTATGTTAGTTTTTGAACTACACTCAGCATACAGGCTTTCATTTAGAATGAATGAACTGAGATTTTTATTTTTGTGATATTTTATCATTTTGGCAGCAATACTTTGATGTTTAATAACTCTATTTGTTTACTGATTAAATTATTTTAGTACTTAGCCACTCCTGTTGCAACAAAAACAGCAGCAGCAGCAGCAGCAGCAACAACAACAACAACAACAACAACAACAACAACAACAACAACAACAATAATAATAATAATAATAGCAAGTACAAAAATTCAAGACCTTTACTACGACCTTTGCAGTAACAACATGGACATGAATGGCATTGACTGAATAGGTCTGGCAATCCTCCAAAGATCCTTTAGTGTTGTCAGGAATGCTTTGCTTACATAAATGATCAGTGAGGTTCAGGTCAGATAAATGATTAGGAAAGACCACGGGAGCCAGCACTGCTTACTCTTCTTTGGTCTTAAGGTAGCTTGAGCTCACTATCCTGCACGAGGCATTTCTCTGAATGGAGGAGAGCGTGTAAACCCCTACCAGATTTTATAATAATAAAATCCCACCACCACCTTTTGGTGTGCCACATCATTATTTGGCAAATAAATTTGGCGTTATTTGACAAATTAATTTGTCTCAGACAATTTATTGTAATCCAGCCATCTTAAAAAACCCCAAAACAATTTTTTTTCTCACTGGCCTGCTAATAATATTGTGTTGTTAATTGCTGGTACATACACATGGTTTTTAGATTTGTACTTCCTTCCTGAGGAAGAAAATACAAATACGTATTAGGTGATGATCTTTTGATAAGACCTTTGCTGCTTTAACTCTTGAGCGTGAGGTTGCTTCTTTGTTTCTCAGTGGACTGATCTTCTGATGGTGCTCTCACTCTTGGTCAACCTTTGGATACTACTGTTTGCTTTTCACAAACCAGGGTGTTTACACCCTTAAGGGTATTGCAGCAAGAAAGTCCTGGGTTTGAATCCACCAGCTGGGGCCTTTCTGTGTGGGCTTTGTATGTGCCGGCCTGGATTTTCTCAAGGTACTCCAGTTTTCTCTTAAGACATACACATTAGATTAAGTGGTGATTGTAAAGTGGCCCTAGATGTGAATGTGAGTGTCAGTGGTTGTCTGGATGGATGGATGGATGGATGGTGGGAGGGAGGGAGGGAGGGAGGGATGGATGGATGCTTCCTGTCATTGTCTGATGGTGAGAAAGACCTTCTTTACTCAGGCTAACAATATGACTTCTGAAATTGACATTTCCCACTGTCACAGTGCTACTTAGCAACAATGTGTTGCTGAGGCAGACTTATAGCAGTGGAACAATAGCTGCAAATGTATTATCAAGAGTGCTCATATCCACTTAAATGTCCTCCAAAAGTATGTTTCCGTTGAAGGAATGTGATTTAAAGAAAAGTGACAGTTAGCTCAAGATCAGTGAATGTATATTTGCTTGTAAATTACTGGTAACATATGAATGCAATAACTAATAAATACATTTTTAAAAATCATTGTAAATAAATTTGCATGCTGTTGAATCAGTTAACCAGGCGCCTTAAGAGTTATTCAGTGAATCACCTGCAAGATTATTCTCCACATGACAAGTCAGCTTGCTTTGTCTTCAACTGAAACAGCAGTAGGACCACAGGTTGAGACATGAACTACGTGAACCCCCCCCCCCCAACTCTCTCACTCACACACACTTTAAATGTGACACAGAAAGTGAGCGGTTGCATTTTCAGCTCATCGCCACCAGATGTCTCTCTGCACTAAGCCACAGCGAGGACGCCAGGAGTAGCCTGTGTGATAAATACCCGCAGAAACAGGGCTTGGTTCTGTCAGACTTCATCCACATAAAAGCCCAGGCTGCCATTGGAGAACCCGTTGGCAAGACGAGCGAACAGGAGGAAGACGCAGGAGATATATAGGATAGGCAGTGTCCATCACTTCAGCCGATGTAACCAGACAGCTTATGCTGGACTCAGTTATTATATAGCAGCAACTTCGTCATAAAAAAAAGAGGCAGGGGAAGGCGAGAAAATGGGACATACTGCAATACCTATATTGATGGCTGTATTGTCATTATGCGTGCGGAAAAACGTCGAGGTAAGAGCAAAACAGTCTGAGTCTTTTATCTCTGCCAGCTGAATTTTTGTTTGTTTGTTTCGTTCACTGAATGGCGAAGAGGACAAAATGTATTTTTATTATTATTATTCGCTCTCTCATTCAGCTGCTGTTCTCTCCGGGATTGCTCATAATCATTTGGGGCAGGTTTAATTTGTAAATGCACCGTCCTGTGTCAACAAGAGTAATGACACGCATCGCCCACGAAAATGCAGTGATAGTGAAAACGTTTGAGATGCAAATACTGATATATGATGTAAATGAAAGCCCACACTCAGGAGAGTCTCCGTGAACATGGTTTACAGTATATTTGGCTCGCTGCGTCAAGCCTGGGCCTGCACTGACATGATGAATGTTACAGGCCTTTTTTTCTTTTTCTTTTTTCTTTTTTTCTGTTTTTTTGCTTCTGTGGAAGGATGGAGATTAAATCCCATCTCATTTCACCCCATCTGGCGCTGTCAGAGAAGCAAATCAGCTCGCATCCGTCCTTTAGAGAAGTGGTGCAGCTCTTGAGCAGGATGGAGCCATCATGCATATTCAATTGGTGTTCTGTTGTACATTTGGTCTTCATGGAAGAACACTGAATTGATTAAAAACTCCCTGCTGAAGAGTCAGGAATTAGATTTGCTGTCAGATTTGCACTGAGGCGTCTTTGTGCGGATACCTCTGGTTTCATATGGTCCTTGGGAGTGTGATACTGAGAAATCCATCTTAATGACATATATGGGGTCATTCTATTGGCATATGTACCTGCCCATAGTTAGGGGGTGAACACTGAAAGTCTCTTGTACAGAGTGAAAGATCAATGGGCCACCAGGTACTCCAACCCCCTCTCCGGCTGATCGTGACTTACAGCCGACCCTCAGCTTAATGGACTTGACCTTTATTTCTCAATAACTCCTCAGCCACCCATCACGAGGCATGAATTCATGTTGGAGGATGTGCTCTAGGTTATTGTTGGAGGTGTGTGAGTATGGGAGGGATATGAGGAGGAAGAGGGGGGAGGAGAAAGGGGGATGGATGAGTCATGACATCCCAGCTCGAGCTGTGGTTTAGGTGAAACACTCCTCTTCTAATAAAGAGTGATTGCATTCACCTCTAACATCTGAGGTGATACATGGAGGACCCTGAATGCAGGTTGAGACAGATCTTGAGGTAGTTTGTGAAATGTTTATTCATTAATCATCATCCTCAGTGAATCAGTAGCAGTCATAAAGCCTCTCCTTTCATTCTGAAATGATTTCACTTCTGTAAGAGCCTTAGTGGGATTACTGCTATACCGAGGAACAGGCTTTAGCTTCATACAAGGAGACCTGCTCGTGAAGGTTTACAGGGAAGATTACACATTGAGAGGGTTGACTGGCTGGATTACACTGTGGTATTAGTCCTAATAAAACCGTCAGCCTCCCTTAATTCACTTAACATGAATACAGTTCAAAAATGAATAGTGCAAAATTGTTTTGATCTCTCTGTTATTGCATGCCATTTAAACAGAGCATGTTAACTTGAAAATGGAAATTTCAGACTCTACTCTGTATTCATAAGGCCTTTAACTGGAACTCAAACACATATTCAGCATTATCCTGTGTTCTTGCTGTGAGTGCACAGACATTTTTATGCCAGACAGTCACATGTATCGTATGTCCAATAAGAGCTTCCCTGCTCTCTCAGCTTTAATAGCACTCACCTGTAGAAGCACTGAAAACATTAGCAAATTGACATACAAAGCAGTTTTCCCCGTGACGCAAAAGGTCAGAGAAACAACCCCTTTGTTGCACCCTGTGAACTTGTGCAATGCTGTCTGACCTTAATGAAATGCAGAAGATTTTTTTGTTTGTTAGGAGCATTTTCAATTTTAATAAGACTGGGAAATATAGATAACTTACATCACTTTTGCTCAAATGTCATTAGAACTGTAGTGATTTCTGCTTGGCACCGATATTGAATTTGAGTGAGATTTTGCACAAATATGTAGATCTTTTATTAATTTCTCACATCATTTTCCAGTTACTTTATTATACTTTTTCTAACATTCCTTTTATTATCCATTATTTTAAATGGATGTTTTCTTAATGGACTATTTATTTGGCCTTCAAAATATAACAGGAAGAAAGAAGCGGATTGTGATTTCATGTTCAGACTGCTTATCCTGTCCAAACCAGCACTTCAACACCTGAAGGTATTCTACATGAATGCAAGTGTGAGAGAACCAAAAACATACTTATATGAAAAGCTGGAACTGATACATCTTTGGATTACAAAATATTCTTTCTTTGGATTTGACGATAACTAGGATAGGGGTGGGATACGCTCCAGCCCACCTACGGCCCTTAATTGGATAGGTGGAAGAGGATGGATGGGTGATTTTTATTCCTGAGAATAGAAACATTTCATGGCTAAAATTGCCCATTGAGAACAATTCTTGGTTACTGCATTAATTTCCATAATCTAATCATGTCAATTAAAAAACAAGAAGATTTTGTTTGATGATTTGCAGCATTACCCATAATGCTTTAAGAGGACCAGAGATGCTAATGAAACAACTGCCCTGTAGAAATGGCTGCACAAAACCTGCACAGTCGACAAATTTCTATCCATTTGCAGTTTGTTGTTAGACAAAGCGCTCATACAGTGATTGTGCTCTTCTGTAGCCATATTTCTTTTCTAAAGACCACTGTAGGATCTACAGGTATGCTCAGTTTTAGATAAATAACTGCAGTGCAAACCTCTGCCTGAGCTCTCCAGCACAGAGAGTCTCGAGGACAGACCCAGAAACAAATGCGCTGTTTGGAAAGATTGTGTAGGAAAGCTTTAAGCATAAAGAGGGAAAACAAGGAGAGAGTAGGGAAATATCATGATGCAGCTGCGTGCAGGCAGGAAAAGGACCCAAAAGCAGACCTCACAGAGGCGAAAATTCAAAGTCAAAAAACAGCTTTATTGCTGGAAGGGAAAATGTTACAAAGAACTACACTTGAAATCATAACTAAACATACAGAGAGGCACACAGGGAAATGCAGCCATGAATGAGGGAGATCACCACAACAAGCACAGGAAGAAACAGACGCTAAATACAAAAGGGATAACAAGGGAAGTGACGACACATGAGAAACACAGCTGGCACGAATAACCATAATGAGACAGGGCAAGCAAGACTGAACAGAATGAACATGAAAACACTGGACCTTCACAATAAAACAGGAAACATGATGCAGGAGTGGAGGAGAGGCTGACGAGAGGGAGCGAGGGAACACGAGAGAGAGCAGAAGTGATGGGCTGGGGAAACATGGATAAACATGGAATAAACCACAAGAAGGGGAAAGAAGACACAAGAACACACATAAACACAAACACAGATGCAGTAAGGGAGACACAGAGGGCAAAGACACGAGGGGAGATTCAACAAACAAAACTAAACAGAACAACCCAGGCACTTACAGGATACTGCTTAGAAATAACAAGGAAGACTTAACATTACACAAAATGACAAAAAACAGAGAGACTGAAACCGCTCGGTCACCGACCCAGGACCATGACAGGAAATTATGTGGAGAAGATAAAAGGCAGGAAGATTAAAAAAATACATTTTAGTGAGCCTGAATGTCAAATTAATTCAGTCAAAGTAATTCAAAAAGCTGCTGTGTAACCTGCCCACTCCATGCTGCCACCACCACCACATCAGGAATAGCAGTTTCAGGCCATACAGATGCAACGACCTCCCACTCCCATCTGCCTTTCAGTGTAGTAACACAAGAGGATTTGTTTAAAAAAAACAAACAGAAAAAGAAAGATAAGGACAACCAGATCTCTCTCTCTCTCTCTCTCTCT